TCTATCTATCTATCTATCTATCTATCTATCTATCTATCTATCTATCTATCTATCTATCTATCTATCAGAAAAAATGTCCCACTGAACTGAGGTAGGGTCAAAGCAGAAAAGACTATTTTTCCAATTATCTCAAACCTTCCTCCTCTTAACTAGTAACAAGCAAGTCTCTAAAAGCCCTGTTTGGAAACATTTATTTGAAGGGAGGTTAAGAATTCCAGCACAAAAATTGCAACAGGAATTCCAACAAGTAGTGTTACTTTAAGTTGAAAATGTGGCAAATATATATAGGCAATTTTATGGCACTAAATTCTGGTTCATTTTTTTTTTGGCATGTTTATGATAAAGGGAGCAGGAAACTTGCCTCGTTAACAGTGGACAAAATTCAACTGTTGATTATTTTTACTCCCTGCTAGTCTTACCATCAGTCTGAGAATTAACAAATTTCTTGCCAAAGGAGGGTGAGGGGCTTATATAGAAACCTTACTGAAACTCAGCAGTTATCAATTCCAGCCATACATCATACAACACATGAGGTCAGATCCTGATAAGCTGGTGTTCAAAGAAAGTCTGCACTTTCGAAAACACTGTCCCTCAAAACCCTAAATACAAATTTAACAGCAAGTAAAATACTGTTGCATTGTTTACACACACACACACACACCCAGCCATTTCAGCTCCGTTCCTATCTGAGCAGATACTACACCTCCTTGAACAGATTGATTCTCCAGCTCACCAAAAGAGAAGACATTGTTTCCTATGCAGAAAAAACAATAGCCGGCACATTCAAAGGAAAATGGATAGGAAGTGGAGTCCTTGGTGCTCTCTGAGCTTGGTTGTTTTCTCGCAGATGTTTCATTCATCAGGGCTAGTAGGGAGTGGAGTTTGCTCTCGTGTTGTATTCTAGTGGCCCCTGCCTACTAGCTCTAGAAAAAGTGCAGAGAAGAGCAACCAGGATGATTAGGGGACTGGAGGCTAAAACATACGATGGACGGTTGCAGGAACTGGGCCTGGCTAGTCTAGGGAAGAGAAGGACCAGGGGAGACAAGATAGCAAGTCTTCCAATATTTGAGGGGCTGCCACAGAGAGGAGGAAGGGGTCAGGCTATTTTCTAAAGCACCCAAAGGCCAGACAAGGAATAATGGATGGAAACTGAACAAGGAGACATTCAACCCAAAAATAAGGAGAAACTTTCTGACAGTGAGGACAATCAACCAATGGAACAGAAGTTGCCCTCGGAAGTTGTGGGAGCGCCATCACTTGAGACTTTCAAGAAGAGATTGGACTGCCATTTGTGAGAAATGGTATAGGGTCTCCTGCTTGGGCAGGGGGTTGGACTAGATGACCTACAAGGCCCCTTCCAACTCTGATTATCTGTTATCTGTTAAGCCCTGATGATGTTACCTAGCTTGGCAACAAAACATCTGCAAGCAAACAACCAAGTTCAGAGAGCACCAAGGACCCCTCATTTCAACCCCGAGCTACAAACATTCTTCTCTATGGGTAGGACGTTTTTGCATGAATAAACCTGTTAGGAATATGAGTCACCTAACAGGTATTTGGGTTAGAAATATATAAACCAGGATAAACATTTTAATACTATATCTTTAAGGGAATGCAAGAGCATGCAATTGGGTGTGGTTTCTCAAACAGCCATAAGATGGAGCCAGAAACCTGGGTTGTTTAGTCTGAGTCTCAGAAGAGAGTGTGAGTGTATCTCTGTTTCCTTCTGTTGGAAAATATTGCCGTTGCTCCATTTCTTCTAATTGACTGATATTACTGGATTTAATGTAAGTCTGATACTGAACTGTTTTTGATACTGGAATTTGATATTTGGATTATCCCTGGATTGAAAAACTGACTGATTTTACCTGTGAATGACTTTTGGATTGCTTATTTTGGACTTTTCTAAAACCTTTCTGGAAGTAAAAACCTACATTTACTGTACAGTGTATCTGTGTACTGTGTGTGTATTATTCAAACACTACTCTCTATACGTCTCCCTGTATGCGCTCATTCTCCTAATGGGGAATTACCTCAACAAAACCCATTACAACATCCCAAGGCCGAACAACCCCCACTTTCTAGCGAAGAAACCCTGCCCACCTTAAATCGAATGATGTACGCAGCGACCAGCACGCCAATACTTTGGACCAAATCTCCCAGGGCGTGGACGAAGGCCGCTCTCACAGCCAAGCTGCCGTGGCTGTGGCCATGAGAGTGCCCAGGGGATGCAGCGGAAGAGCCGGGCGGAGGAACCGATGAAGGCGTGTGCGAATGGGAGTGGAGGTGACCAGACTGGCTCAGCAGGAAACCCATTCTGAAATGAAAAGGAGAGAAGAAAGATCCTTTAAAGAGGTGGGGGGGGTAAGGGCCACTTTGCTTTGGAAATGCCAATGGGGTTAAAATGCAAAATCGGCTACAGAATTATTATTTTTTAATAAAGCTATGCAGTGCATCACAATCAAAGCCAAAGGGGTATAGTGGAACCTCGGTTCGCGACCAAATCGGGTAGTGAACAAACAAATCCACCCAATTTTTGAATCAGGTCACGATTCAAAAATCGGGTGACGAATAAAATCGGCACGGGAAGATTCCCTTTTCGCGTTGATTTTCCCTTCAGCGTCATATTTTTTAACTGCGCCATTTTTTTTACTGCGCACATGTGCAGTTGGTGGTGCTTCTGGACATGACCAAATCGGGGTGTGACCGAAGTCTGGGAATGGATTATGGTCACGACCCGAGACTCCACTATATTTTGGTACATAAAAGGTAATTATCCACTACATAATGTAACTATCCAATTGGGTCTGACTCTACAAGATGCTGTTCATTCCCATTTGCGTTGTCCAAAGATGCTTCTGTGGTCATGTGGCCAGCATGGCTATATACTGAAGAACCACCAAAGTGGTACCTATTTATCTACTTGCATTTGCATGCTTTCGAACTGCTAAGTTGTCAGGAGCTGAGGCTAGAAAGGAAGCTCACCCCGATATACGGTACTTGGGTGTTGAACTGCCAACCTTCCAGTCAGTGGTGGGATTCAAAAAAATTTACTACTGCTTCTGTGGGCATGGCTTGATGGGCGTGGCGTGGCTTGGAGGGCATGGCTTGGTGGATGTGGCAGGGGAAGGATACTGTAAAATCCCCATTCTATTCCCATCCCACTAACCTGCTTTCTAGTTCCATTCTCCTGTGCAGGGCAACAAAAGAAGAACCAGCTGATCAGCTGGGACTCAATGGGAGGCAGAGACTAGATGGGGACGGGACCAGTCAGAGGTGGTATTGCCGGTTCTCCCAACTACTCAAAATTTCCGCTACCGGTTTTCCAGAACTGGTCAGAACCTGCTGAATACCCACCTCTGTTTCTGGTCAACAACTCCAGCTTCTTAACCATAGAGGCGCAAATGCAGCACCGTTCTTTCTACAGTGGCTCCTTGAACCCCAGGAAAGTCACATTGGATTTGTTTGACGGCTGTGAGATTTGTGCCCCTATAAGACTCCGAAGCAATTTTATTTTTTGATCCAAAGTGTTCCTAGCTTTCAGCCCCAAAGTCTGAAAAATAATCAGTTGCTTGTTCACGAGACCTAATGGGAGTCAGAAGTACTTTCTAATGCTGCTCTGCAAAGCCACTGTAAATGTATATACGCTTACACATCAGCTGCTTGGGCAGCCAGCCTACCTGAACAACGTTTCTCCAAAGTTACTTTTGCTCTATTATATTTCACCCTTCCTGCTAATCTGCTGGGCCTGGCCTCCTGCCCATCTTCAAGGAGAAAAATCACTCCAGGCCTCTGCTTGCCAAGAAGAACAGCGGGACAGAAATCCCCTCATCTTCCTTCTGCCCCATTATTCAAGTATGCTTTGATCTAGGCGTAGTAGCAAGAAAAAAAAAACTTTGTCCTCTCATTGGTAGAGCCTTCTGCTCCCCAAATCCTTTCCAACTCTGTTAATCTGTAATTAAACTTAGGATATGAAACCCTAACTCTATGGCTATGAAATGCCATCACGATCAATAGACTTCCCTTTTTTAAAACAATCCTGTAATCCCTTAATTTAGGGTAGATTCATGGGCGACTGGATGGAGCTGAGCATTTACTGGCCAGATCAAGATCAATAGACCATCCATCTTATATAGAAGGAAAATGGTAACTTACATGAGGTTTACTGCAACCCCAACAGCTGCGGTGATAAGCATTACATCTCCATTAATCTCATAGTCCATGTGGATAGTTCGCTGAACAGCCTCGTATAAGAGGAAAACCATCAGGATGTAAATCAACAGTACACTGAAGACGGCGGACAAAACCTCTGGGAGAGAAGAAGCAAAACATCAACAATTGAACAAGGAGATCCAAGTACATCCTCCCAACCTAACCACCAACTCTGAAGATGGCCTGACTGAGGCCATCTTTGAGGCTTCAGCATTGCCACAATGGAGATGAGGGTTAGGGAAGACGGAGAGTAGAGATAGCTGGAGAGGTTTGTAGCCAAAACAAAATAGTTCCCTCTGGGAACCAAGGACATTCCTACAGGGGGCTGGAGAGAGGAGGGTGAAGTTACCAAGCAACCGGACAGTGCTTTGATTGGACCATGTGACTGATTGTTTGGGAAGAGGGAGAAAACATTTACTTTTAATTAGATGAAAACCGCAGGACCCATTAGAGTCGGTTTTCACCAGTTTGTGCCAATATGATGTGTCCAATAAAAATGTTCCTGAAGGAATCTACCTGCCTTGGAGGTCTGTTTGCTATGGGTATATTAATTGCAACCCTGACATTAACTTTTAAAGCTTAAAATGCATTCTTTTTTATTGTTATTATTATTATTATCCAAACTTTTTTTTTATTCTTTAAATATCTCTTTGAGTGAACAATGTGATTCCAGGTTTAAAACATACATAATCATAATTGCATTTTCAGCTTTCTTATCCAGTTTCATATCATATCATTACCTATTCCATTTTTCTTTTAATATATTTTATCATTTCATGTTATTTCATTCATCATTTCCAAACAGAAAAAAAAATCCTAAAATATGTTAACCAATATTTACCCCCTTTTATTGTCAATTCAATCTTACCACCTATTTTTATTTTATTCTCCCCTTTTTATTCCATTAACCCAATATATAACAAATTAAAAATAATAATAAAAAACACATATCAATATAGCCTGTTTTAGTTACTACATCCTATATTAACCACAATGACCTCCTATTTACTTTTTTATATGTGCATATATATCTTTCCCCCAATTGGGTTCCTCATGGTATTCTTTCCCTATTACATAATAAATCTTATGTTCATTCCAAAAGCATTTATAAAACAAACCCATTATAAACGTTAATAACAATATTATAATTTTTAATTTCCATACTCTATGTTCATTTTCTTCATCACCTTAATAATAATTACACAGTAGTCTTATTTTTAATTCTTGTTTAACATTATAGTCATTTTTAATTTTAATACTTTTACACTGTTAAAAAAAAAGAGTGAGATTTGCCTTGATAAAGCAGCTACTTCCAAATGACTCAAGAGGAAATATTTAAAATCAGATGCAGTACAGATCATCCTCGACTTACAACAGTTCATTTAGCGGCCATTCAAAGTTACAACGGCCCTGAAAAAAAACGTGACTTAGAACCATTTTTCACAGTTACGACCATCGCAGCATTCTCTGTGGTCACATGATCAAAATTCAGAGGCTTCCTGGGCCCTGGTTCATACTTACGACCTTTGCTGTGTCCCAAGGACCCGCGTGGTCCCCTTTTGAGACCTTCTGACAAGCCAAGTCAATGGGGAAGCCGGTTTCACTTAATAACTGGGTTACCAACTTCTCAACTGCACAGATTCGCTTAACAACTGTGGCAAGAAAGGTCGTACAAAAGTGGGGTGAGGGGGAAATTCACGTAATTAATGTTTCGTTTAATGACATAAATCTGTGGGTCAATTTTGGTTGTAAGTCAAGGACTATCTGTACTATGGGAAAAAGTAAGCAGATGCTGGGCTGCTACAAATAAATAAGAAGTCTCTCTAAAACAGGGATCTTCAAACTCTTCAGTCATCAATCGCTTCAGGAAACGTCGATGGAGATTCTCAGTCATCCAGGTCATGGTCGTCCCAAAGGTCAGAACTGAAGAAGCTTCTCTGGATGAGAAGTGAAACGTCTTTGAGCAAAAACAGAGGAAGTCCCGCCACCTTTCAAAAAAGCACCTTTGGGATCGCTTCAGGAAGTTTCTGATCATTCATTGGCCTGCCAACATTTATCATGCAAAGCCCAATTGCATCTCTCATGATATCTCAGCAAAGATGTGTTATTCCAAGGGTCTTCAAACTTGACAAGTTTAAGACTTGTGGACTTCAACTCCCAGAATTCCCAAGCTAACATGACTGGAGGAGGAATTCTGGGAGCTGAAGTCCACAAGTCTTAAAGCTGTCAAGTTTGAAGACCCCTGTGTTATTCAATCAGTGTGACACACACTGTTCTGACACTGCTTCCAAGAGAACAAACACAAGACAAAGGCAGCAGCCCAACCTTTTAAAGTTTAATCTACAAATTCTGTTTCTTCACAGATAAAAGGCTGCTTCCAACTAATTAGCTCCAACAAGAAAGAGCCTTGCCAAGTTTTTGCAAGGCTGCCAAAAAACAACAGAAAAGAAATAGTTTACAACACAAGAGTCTTCAAATACCAACTGTAATGTCCACGAGACTGAGTTTCAAAACATTTTTGCTTCCTGGGACTTCCGGTTTGTCGGCTTCGCGAGCGGCAGGGATTTGCGAAGCTGCGCGATCCCTGCCGCGCTAGCCGTTTTTGGGGCTCTGACCCAGCCGGGTACGGAGCTAGGCTGCCCTGCAGGGGCAGCTGAAGGTAGGGGGGATCCGGAGAAGGGTTTGGGGGTGCTGCAGACCCCCTCCCTGGCCGGCAGAACCCCCTTTTCCCAGGACGGTGCAGCGGCGGTCCGTAATGGCCGCCACAAAGAAGCTGGCAGCCGGGTAAGAATGCGCAGGAGGAAGTGGAGAAAGTGATTGAGAGGAGAAAGTTTTTCTTGGCTCCTAGGACTCTAAGACATATTTAATAAAATTCCTGAAAAGTATGACTTTCTGAATAATACCTGCCAGAAGAGGAAAAAAGCGGCTGCTTGAAGGTGCTGAAAGGATAGCTTTCCCTCTTTTCCTACGGAATAAATAACTGGATATTAAGAAACCTATTTTTTTAGGTGGAAATTGGTTTTAAGCGATGAGTGGGAAGAGAGAGGATTAAAAAGAAAATATTTGTATGCTAAGATTTGTTGGAGCAGATGCCTTAAGGATTTGAAGACTAGAATATATTGTAACAAGACTTTAAACAGATTTGGACTTTCTTTCTCTTTGATTGATATTACCCCAGAAGGAGAAAGTGAGAACTCTGCCTTGGTTTGGACTGATTGATAACTTTGGGACTGTTTTATCTTTTTTATTTTCTTTTGAATATTCTGGTTGTTGTAAGAAGAAAGAAGGAGAAAAGAGAAGAAAAGATTTATAATGACTCTTTCTGTTGAGGAACTAAGAAATGGTGTGGAAGAAGCTTTCCTTTTCTTAGAAATGGCGCTTACTAATTATCAACAAAAATTACAACAGATGAAGACAGCAGAGGAACAAGAAAGAAAGGAAGGAGCCATCTTTAATGAATCTCAGAATTTGATCCAGAAAAAAGGAAGAGAGAAAGAAAAGAAAAGAAGAGAAAAGAAGAAAACTAAAGGATTTAAGGACTTAAGATCTAAAAAAACATTTAAGAAAGGGAAAAATAAAGTGCAAAACCAATATGATGATTGTAAACAAAGGGGAAAAGAAATACGACAGAGAAGGGAAGCCGGTAAGGCAGAGGCTAGAAGAAGGGGGGGTAGAAAGGTTTGTTGGGAAAAGAAAGAAAGGGAAAAGGTGGAGAAAAGCTACAACGTTTTGAAATTAAATGGAAAAAAGGAATTTTTTATGGATAATGGATAAAGTATAATTTTTTTTTTAAAAAAAAAAGATTTTGCAAGGTACATAAGATGAGATGGTAGTATTGCAATGGTTTAAGAGTTGATAAGAGATTAAAATGTTAAAATGTTTAAAAATGATTGGTTTTAAAACTTAATAATAGGAGAGGTTTAGAATATTGTTTTAATTAAAGAGTTTAATAAAATTATGGTATTGATGTTATTATAAAATTTTTATTATAGTATTTCTTTTTAATATTTGGATTTATTCTCTAATTATGCACTTAATTGTGTTGGATGTATTAGTTAGATAGAATGTACCAAGCAAAATCTGATTGGGTATTAGATATTATTTTAAAGATTAATTTGATTAACTTAGGGGGGAGATAGAAAGGCATCATACTCTGATTAATGATTTCAGGAGAAACTGATTTTCTTTTTTTTTCATAAGGGATGAGACAAAGGGATGATAAAAAATGGACAAAAGATACAAATATAATGATTTAAACTAAGATGATTAATTAAGGTAGAATTAAGAAGTGTGAAATATGTGGAGAAGTTAATATAGAAGGCTTAGAATGGTAAATAAAATAAGTAATGATATGTAAGATGAGCATGAATATAATTGAAGTCCATGAAGAGAGAGACACCTGGGTCCAAGTTACTTTCCAAAAAGATATTTTTTTTATGTTTTGTGTGTTGTGTGTATATGTCTTTTTTGGGGGGAGAATTGGTAAAAACTTGTAGAAATATAGAATGAGAATAATGGTAACTAAGTCAGAAAGAAACAGATGAAATAATAATAATGATATTGAATAAGAGTAAAGAGAAGTAAAGAGAAATTGAATAAGAGGTTTTGGTATATTATATGGAAATGGTTTAAAACAGAATCATAATTTATCTGACTTGTTAAATTTACAAGGGAAAAAGGTTTAAACATGTAATGAATAATGATAATTTGTGTGTTTTAAAAATTAATAAAACTTGTTTTAAAAAAAAAAAAAAGGAAAAAAAAAAAGAAAAAAAAAAAACATTTTTGCTTCCTGCAAAGAACGTCCGATTCACAGCTGGCTTTTATCTTCTTGAAGGAGGGGCCATTACCTTGCAGCCTTACTCCTGAGTCTCCCATGCTGTTGCAGCTGCTCTTTCCTGTGAGCAGCCCTGCGCGCACGTGCACTTGGCATACGCTCCTTGGGAACCTCCTCATTGCTGCTGCCAGCCCCCACAATCTCTGAAGGCAGCAGTCCACTTCCTAATGGTCCTGGACCCTCATCTGAGTCCTCGCTCTCCCCCAGCCGCCTGCATCTGCTGCCGGCTAACCACAACAAACACAATCTGATGTGTCCCATATATAACAGCACTAGATGTTCTGCCACGTTGGTTACCCAGCACTGTGTAATCAACAAGTGACATTATCGTAGCTTTATTTAGAACTGTATACAACAGGAATTCCTCTGTAAAAAAAAAAACCAGCATAATTCCAATTTTCATAGCGAGTTAAGGCATTGAAACTAAGGTAAGAGAATAGGTGCAAGGTTTGTTTTTATCCTGGATGAAAGTGGAGTTGTATTTCACAAACTCGGTCTGTCAAGTTTTCAACTCTACGACTGAGAGATTTTCCTCCACTATGATAATATCCCCATCAATTCACGTATTAAAGCCATACTGTAGTTTACTGTAGAACAGCAAGTCATCCTGGATCTCAAACAACACAGAGTTTGGCAGCTGTGAAACTTTTCTTTCAAGAGTTCTTAATTTTTGTTGAATGAATATCCTTATGACCGAAACACAAGCCACCGGGGCTAAAAGGCATGTGAATGCACACCAGTGCCTGACTTTTATTACAGAGGTCATTAAAGCATGGGGGGGAAATGCTGAAAAATCTAATTACAGCTTCGGAAAAGAGAATCAAATAAACAGTGGATTGAATAATGTGAGCAGAAACTAACCAAGCAGAGTCACGAAGGAGCAAAATTGAATCAGCACATCTAATTGAAAAATATTTCTCTTCTTTTCCCTTTGGCTTAATGACTTCTCCTTCTAAGAGCTAATATAACTATATTTTTAGAAACGTCTTGTGAAAACTGATGAGGTTTTCACAGGGGAACTGTAATCGAAGAACATCCCATTCGTTCATTCATCCCCTGGGACAGGAAAAACCAATAGAAATGTGCAGGTTTTTTGAGCTATTTTGGATTGCAATTCAAACAATCCCTTTATTCGCAACTATTTTGATTGAACCTGGTGGGACTACAAATCTATAACATGTTGTGGACACCGCATTGTTCAATCCTTCTGTGTGTATTTTTGGGCATGTTAGTCCCACTGAAATATACAAGTTAAAAGTAAGACTATTATTTGTTGAGAGCCACTTTGGTATAGTAGCTAAGGCACTAGCTAAAAACCAGGAGCCTGTGAGTTCTATTGCTACCTGAGACACTGTGGTAAGGTTTATATCCAAATATATTTTATTCTTTATACTGCTCCATCTTCCCTTAAAATATTAACAGAATGGTCTGAGAATCAAATTAGCAAACTTCCTCAAACTCCAAAATAAGTTACCCAGACATAATCAAAACATAAGCTCCCCCTATAAAAGTTTGCATTGTACCCCATTTCTCTGCAGCCTGCCCTTAAAAGCGAACTGTTTTGCTTTTAAGAATACATACTTCTTCTTTCCACACACCTGTCTGGATTTCATTTTTATTTATTCCTGTGCAACCCTGGCTCGAGTTGGAACCCCAAATTATTCTTCTGACAAACCAAAGCCAGCAGGGTCATTTGGGGCCAATCACTCTCTCTAAGCCCTGGGAAGAAGGCAATGGCAAACCACTTCTGAAAAACCTTGCCAAGAAAACTGCAGCGACTAATCCAGGCAGGCGCTAGGAATCAAAACTGATTTAAAGACATACCTGCAAACTGTTTGTAAGGTTTATGCCCCTCTACTTGAGGTAGCTCTCCCTCCTTCTATGTTTTCCCACAACACTCCTGGGAGATGGAGAGTTTGACTGGCACAGATTTGTTCTAGGGAGCTTCCATTGTGGAGGAAAAACTTTTACCTGGGTCTCCGTTACTAGCCCCGAACACCTTAACGTAGAGTTGTAGACAATTGTAGATAATCTTCTCTATCTCTGCCCGCCAATTGCCTCACATGTATCTCAGATGCACAGTGTTAGGGGAAGAATGACTAGTCTAATCACAATGAACTTATTAAAAGATGCTTAATTTTGTGCTACATCAGAGGCAAGAGAACTTTTGTCAAGACAGGGATGATGACAAGAGCCCTAGTGGCGCAGTGGTTAGAATGCAGTACTGCAGGGTAACTCTGCTCACGGCTAGCAGTTCGATCCTGACCAGCTCAAGGTTGACTCAGCCTTTAATCCTTCCGAGGTCGGTCAAATGAGGACTCAGTCAATATGCTGACTCTGTAAACCCACTTAGAGAGGGCTGTAAAGCACTGTGAAGCTGTATATAAAGTCTAAGCGCTGTTGCTATTGCTATGATAGGATTCCACACTGCAAATGCAAGTTACTTAGTCAGTATTTCAAACACAGAACTACTTTTCCTTTCAACCAGGTGCAATTGGATCTGAACTGGAAGACCAAACACAAATAAAACAGCAGAAACTCGGGATCCTTCTCTGTATCTAACATCATACACTTTGAGTTGAGGGGGAAAAAAGAGACTTTCAAACAAAGTATGCATATGGTCCACAGCATGGGAACTGAGACACCATTAAACATTATGAGGATCTACATATACTGCACATCTTCAACGTTTCAACATCGCTTCTGTTGGTTCCTGCAAGGCTGAATGCCGAACTGCAGTAGCTACTAGCACTGAATCATATCTCATTGTGAAAGATCTGCCTATAGAAACTGTGGTCACAAGACGTCTCTTTGGGCTGCAGACAGATATACCCAAGATGTTTACTTATGCTCAAGAGTTTCGAGGGAGTACACGGAACAGGCTTAAAAGTACTGGAATCAGAGGGGGTGAATATGGTGACCTTCACCCCAGCTGTCTCTGCCTGGACCGAATCCTTAAGTCAACAGCTCAAAACAGACCTTGCAAATTAACACTTTTATAGAGATATAACATTGTTATTGATCTGCCACTTTCTTACCTAAGAGCCTCGGTGGCGCAGTGGTTAAAGTGCAGGACTGCAGGCTACTTCTGCTGCCTGCCGGCTGCCTGCAATTTGGCAGATCGAATCCCACCAGGCTCAAGGTGGACTCAGCCTTCCATCCTTCCGAGGTGGGTATAAAATGAGGACCCAGATTGTTAGGGGCAAGAGGCTGACTCTGTAAACCGCTTAGAGAGGGCTGTAAAGCGGTCATATAAGTCTAAGTGCTACTGCATCTACCACTTTCTTACCCAAGTAAGCAAATGTCTTACCCTGACATTTTGCTAGATCATAATTTTTTGTCAACTCTGGCACAGCCCAGGGCCATTGGGAATTGCAGCTTGATACAGATGGAGGGCACCCCAGTAGGAGAAAATAAACAGAAGAGAGAAACTTCTACTCTCAACCAGCACAGGCAGTGGTAGGGGAACAATTTCCAAAGTCTCCTACCTAATCGATGGAATCCAAAGGTGAAGTTTTTTGTGGGTGCTTTTCCAGAGAGCCACAAAGCGAGGAGTGTTAAAATAATGCTGCTGAGATCTGTTAACATGTGAAGCGCATCTGTCATGACAGCTAGACTGTTGGCAACATATCCACCTTAATGCAGAAGTTTAAAAGGGGGAGAGAAAGGTTAGATATATTGACATATTATCCCCCCCCCAAAAGCCCCACATATATTTAGCAAGGAGTTGCACCCAATGGTGGGATTCAAAAATTTTTACTACCGGTTCTGTGGGCGTGGCTTGGTGGGCGTGGCAGGGGAAGGATACTGTAAACTCTCCAGTCAGAGGTGGGATTTGCCAATTCTCCGAACTACTCAAAATTTCCATTCCCGGTTCTCCAGAACTGGTCAGAACCTACTGAATACCACCTCTGGTTGTACCAATCACAGCTTCCGTGCTTGAAGTTTGGGGAAAGTTTGATTTTGGGTTTTACCGAGTAGACTGATAGATCTTTACAGAAATGGCCGGTTCATATTATGATGAAAAAGCAAAAAGTTGTGATTTGATGTTAATGCCTTATTTTACTGTAACAGAGAGAGTCGGAAGTCAGTGTTTCTTTTTCTTTCTTTCTTTTCTTATCCTTCCTCACTTCTCTTCTCCCTTTTCCTCCCCACTGCTTTTCTATTTACTTTTGTGTTTTGTATTTTACAATATTTTCTAACTCAATAAAATGTCAAACTAGAAAAAAAAATCACAGCTTCTCAAAATATCTGATGGTGATGATGTTATCCGTTCAGTTGTGTCCACCTCTTGGAGATTCTATGGGCCAGGTCCCTCCACATCTGTTGTGCGACAAATCATAGTCACATTTACAGATTGTGTTTCAACATATACACTGGAGAGTGAGGAATGGACAACCATAACAATAGCTCCAGTCAAATATATTTTTGGATGTTATGATCACGTTTTAATATCCTCAGCAGGAAATCAACTTAGGTAGCAATCACCACGCACTCAATTTATTTCATAACTTATTTCTGAACAAGCACCAATGTTCCTGAAAGGACTCAATTCTTTAAACATTGAGAATTCAGAACCTGTCTTTAAACTAGCAATTTCCAAAAGATTTACATCCTGTAATTAAATGGCTCTAGCTACAGGTTTTAATTCCGGGGCTCATTTCATTTGCAGGAAGGGTTTAGAAGAAACTTAGCCCGGGGTTTTGTTTTTTTCCTGTTTCAACTTATAAAAATATTTTTTTAAAAAATACTATTTTTAAGACACCACCTCAACTTGGCAGAAATGGGGTTAGGCAGACAGGGCCTCTAATATTTTAAGAATTGCTCTAAAGTAAGCAAAGTAGCCCAGCCTGATTCACGAAGCAAGCTAGAGTGGAACAGAGAGAACTTTTGATAAATTTAATTGTTTATTTTCCTCTGAGCTCAACCTCTCACATCACCAGCCACGCAAGACATGCGTAGGATTAATAGGCATATCTTGTTTCTGCAATTAAAGGCCTGAAACTGGGAAAGGAGAAGCAGAAGTAACTGTGCATTTGCATTCTTGGTGCACAGAGGAACACACTGATCCACAGTGGTACAGATTTTGAGAATAACAACCCGTACCATCTGGCAGGCCTGAGATTCATTTGTAGAAGAAGGCCTGCCTCACTGCTGCCACCTCTCTTAAAGAGCTCAAAAGAGGCTTGTGAACATCCTCATGTCAATAATGGGTTTGACATCTCACGGCTGCCTTTAATGAGCCATGAAGGACAAAAGTCCAACTCATGGTTGGCAGACCTTCAGAGGCAGCTCAGGAGAGACAGAGAGACAAAACAGGGATGAAAAAGAAAAGGAGGAGGAAATACCATTGTGGAGGTGGAGCACTCTGAAATGGTTATTTATCAGGCCCCAGAAAGTTCATCAAGTTAATCCATCCTTGATTTCTTGCAATGAACCATTTTTACTGCACCGAACATGCAAGAAGCCTGAAGTCTATTCTATTGTACTAAACTATAAACATGACCTACTTGGCTCAACGGTTTTTAATGAACCTCTGTTGTGTAACTCCAGTTAATTGGGGTTAATAAATGACAAATGAATCAGGAGTTAACATAAGATAGGAATACAACCTTAAGGGTATCTAAGCTCTGAAACTAAGCTATGTACCAGGGCCAGAAGTGCTATTCAGCAGGATATGACCAGTTCTGGAAAATGGGTAGCAGAAATTTTGACTAGCTCGGAGAACCGGCAAATATCACCTCTGACTGGACCCGCCCTCATCTATTCTCCACCTCCCATTGAGTCCCAGCTGATCGGCTGGGTCTTCTTTTGTTGCCTGCACAGGAGAACAGAGCCGGAAAGCAGGTTAGAAGGGTGGGGAGGAAATGGGATTTTTCAGTAACCTTCCCCTGCCCCGCCCACCAAGCCACGCCCACAGAACTGGTAGTAAAAAAAAAAATTGAATCCCACCACTGACTAGGACTATACTTGATGTATCTACGAATGTGGGTCACATTATTCAGCTGAGCCACTCCACACAATGGCAGATCAAAAAAAAGGGCACAGTCCGTCCTCTCTTTTTGCTGCGGGCAGTTTTTGCTTATTTAAGACTTTTTCTAAATCTACTGTCCTGTTGCAAAATGCCAGCTTGCCCTTATCCTCCCCCTGCCTGAGAAAATAATTAAACAGCTACTCCACAGCACTCCCTCCTTACAAAGCAACCTCTCCTCCTCCCCCCCCCACTGCCCCCCCCCAGACCCCCCCAGTCCTGTGCCTGCAGGGCACTCTTACCTACAAGCTCGCCAGTCATAAAGAGAAGGTACAGAATTGCCGCTAAAACCAGCCGCCTCTTCACCTTCTTTTGCTTTAGCCGTTCCCTTTGCTGGGTGCAATTGTTGCAAGGGTCCGTTGTGGGTCCAACCGCAGTATTTCGCAACGCTATGTCCCTGTCCAGCAAGGACTCGTCATCGGAGTGAGGTCCCACATAGGCCCCATTGGCCGAGGTGTCGGCTGCATCGTCCGAAACCACCACTTGAAGTTTCTTGAACCGGGGAAAGTCTTCCTCACCAATCTCGTCCGAAAAATCAAAGGCGTTGCAGTCGTTCAGGAACAAGGAATCATTGTTCTTCCTCAGGACCGACTTGAGGCTGTTCCAGATGCTGGGGCCGGCCATTGCCAAGGCTGTCAGTTCTAGAAACACAGCTGGATGCCCCTGGTACCGAGGGACAGGCTGTCTGCCTCTCGGAGGGGGGAGGGGACTAGATCTCTGGCATGCCTTGTCTATGTTTGCCCACCATCTCTCTCTTCTAGGCAGAAGTGTCCAAGCAGGGCAGTTTCATTGAGGAATTAAAACTGGGAAAGGCAAAGAGAGAGGCAAGTTAGGAAGTCAGTGAAAAGTTTCAGCCCTCCACCAAGTCCAGGCCGTGTCACCGTGAGGATGTCCCTTCCCCACCCGACACATCACAAAATCTAGAAAGGTACGTCGATATCTATGTGGGTGATAGATTAGCAAGAGCACTTAGACTTATATACCGCTTCACAGGGCTTTCCAGCCCTCTCTGAGCAGTTTACAGAGTCAGCCCCCAACAATCTGGGTCCTCATTTTACCCACCTCCCTCCTCCATCTTGTAATGGGGACTTAGTCATTGGATCTTTAGTTTAGTTTACTTTATTGTCATTGCTCATCATACCATGAAATCAAACACCATCTTCAGGGCACATAACCACCATGAAAATAAACACAATCACACATCCTTCACCCTCCACACATTGAACATGCCCTTGACACGGCACCAACACTGCACTATACAGCAGAATTCAAAAGGGCTACTGCCCTGGGATAGGAGCTGTTTTTCAGCCCATTTGTCTTTGTTTTTATTATTCTGTACCGTCTGTCAGATGGTAATAGTATTTCATTTAAGCCTTTTAGGTTTTGTATAGCTTTTATCTTAAAAAAAAAAAATCATAAGCAGCCCAGAGTTACCTAGATAGGTTAAGATGGGCCGCCAATACATTTGTCAAAGAAACAAAACAAAACAAATAAGGCATTTTGGCTTTCCCAAACGCTCACTTTCTATGCAAAGCTTGGCAGACGGCTCCACAGCCCCTCCCCCTGTAGCCCTAGCCCAGCCAGGTAGCAATACCTTTTAGACTTATATCCCACTTCACAGCGCCCTCTCTAAGCCGTTTACAAAGTCAGCACATTGCCCCCCCCCCCTAACAATCCGGGTCCTCGTTTTTTTTACCGACCTCGGAAGGATGGCAGGCTGAGCGATCCCTCCCCAATGGACACGCCACAGCCTTTCACCCAGATCTTGCCCGGGGAGGGAAGCGGGGGCGGGAAAAATAAGGCCAGGTGCTCTGTCCCGCTGCAGCTGGAAGCCAGGCAGGCAGGCAGGCAGGCAGCAAATGTGGGGCAACCTGGGCAGGTAACCGCGCCCTGGAGAGAACAAGGTGTTTCAATCCCGGGCATCCCAACCGGGCAGGTTGGACGCCTCCCCGGCGTCAACCCGGCCAAGAACAAGTCGTCTGGGCGCGGAGCTCCAGAAAACGCCCCTCGACGGGCTCCGGAGCTTGGAGACAGCCGGGTGGGAGTGAAAGTGGGAGCCCTTCGAAGGGCTCCCGGGGGTTGGAGAGAACCGAGTGAGAGTGAAAGTGGGAGGTCCTCGACGAGTCCCGGGCCTTGGAGAGAACTGAGTGAAAGTGAGAGCCCCTCGACGGGCTCCCGGGGCTTGGAGAGAGCCGGGAAGCGGGAAGCCCGTGCGACCTTCCTCTACCTGCAAGCGGACAAGCAGGCGGGGAAGAGCTCCGTGCCTCCGGGGCCATCTCTTCTTCTTCTTCCTCCTCCTCCTCTCGGAGCCGGCGGCAAGTGAAGCGCAGGGCCAGGAATTCCTGCGCTTTCCTCCAGCGCCGAGAAGCGTCGAGTGGCGCTGGGGCAGAGCCAGGCTGCCCGGAGATTAGGCAGAGAGGGTGTGGGCTGCTGCTCGCGAAGAAGAAGACGAAGAGGAGGCATGCCTGAATAGTCCTTCATGCGATCGGCTCCATTCTAGCCAGCCCCTCGGTGCCAGCCGTTCAGGGTTGCTTGCCCGCGCGTGGATCGCTGCACACGCATGCATGCATACACACACACACCGAGAGAGGCACAACCAGGCTTCCAAGCGAGGCCCGGGGGGAAGAGGTGGGAGAAAATAATAAGAATAAGAATAAGGAATAAAATCCTGCTTCCTCGGCTCCGCGTTTTAATGCCAGCCTGCCAGCCTCGCCTTAATTTTTTGCAAGAAAGGAAAAAAAAAATCCAAAAATGCGTCTCAGGCTCTTCCTTGGTTCCTTTGCAAAAGGCGAAGCCTCCCCCGAAAAGAGCCGCCCCCGGCCGTCCCTGGCTCCAGGATGAGCCAGCTGGCCAGGAGGCAAACGCCACCCCCCCACCCCCCGTCCGGCAGTTTTCAAGGGGGAGGAGAGCCGCCGCCTCCCTCCCCCGCCTCTTCCCACGTGCGCCGATCCTCTGACATCGCTCCGCAAACCCCACTCGGAAAGCTCGAAGGGGCTGCAAGGCAGGGCACCGAAAGGGTTAAGAAGTCGCGTGGAAGCGGTGCAGGGTGGGAGCTTTAAGGCGGGGAGGGGAATTAAAGGGGGTGGCGACGAGTGGCTTCCCATGCAAACATGGAATTTTATTTTTATTTTTATTTTTTTAAAAATCCCTAAAGGAGGGTGGGATTGTCTGCTCACCTTGAATGATGGACGCCTACGCTTTTTATCATTCGGGAATGGCAGCTTGCTCGTGGTGGCTCTCCCCCTCTAACCCCATATCAGGTGGTGCCGTGCAAGTGGGGTTGGACTAGATGACCTAACAAGGTCCTTTCCAACTCTGTTAATCTGTTATACAGATTAGTTCTAGGTTTACAAGCTTTCATTCAGTGGCTGTAGTTACAACAGCACTGAAAAATGTGAATTACGAGTGGTCTGAAAGTCATAGAATCCCCATAAGCACCTGAACAAAATTTGGGAGCTTGGCAATTGGTCTGTATTTACAATGGTTGCAGCATCCCAGTTCCCAGGGTCATGTGATCACCAGTGCAACCTTGTCAGTTGGTTCCCAACAAGTGAAGTCAATGGGGGAAGCTGGATTCACTTAACAACCAGCTGATTCACTTAATAACCAGCAGTTTGCTGAACCCTGGCCAAAAAAAAAAATACTCGTAAATTCAAGGATGAATCACTTAACCACCTTGGATTAAAATTCCAGCCTCAATCTTGGTTATAAGTTGAGGACTACCTGTAATTGGTTTGTGTTTGATTTAATGTGCTGTCTTGAATCCAGCAATGGTGGTCTGTGTAACCACAACTTAAGAAGGAGGGAGCTGTGCAAATCCAATAGTTAGGAGCTGCAGGCAGAGTTTGCCAAGTGTTTTTTTTTCCAGTGAAATGTGATAGAAATGAGTCTCCCTTAGAACTTAGGGTTTTGACTAACTCCCTGCTTCGCTGCAAAATGTTTGCAAGGGAAAGATTGTGGAACATGTGGAAAATGTTTTCAATGTCAGATTTAAACAAAACACCCAGTAATTTCTTAAGAGAAGCAAGGTCACTCCTCTTGCAAATACTGCGGCAACTCTTTCTTACGTTTGTAACACCAGATAACCACATTCTCTCTACAACTTGCAGTTAAAAAAATAAAAAGCGTGGTTTCTTTAAGCTATCAGTGATAGCCAACATTTTGCAACCTTTTAGAGACAATTACAAAAACACATCTAAAAAACAAATTAACCATTTATTTTTCCCCTATTGGTTTTTCAGTCTTTCTCTTTTCCCCCCTTTTTTTGATATGAAAGCAATGAAATAACTCCCCAAAATCTTAATGTACATATAAGGAGTATTGAATTCAATGGATCCATTAATTAAAAGATAAAAGTTTCCCTGTCTGTCATGTCCCACTCTCTAGGGCAGGGGTTGACAATCTTTTGGACCTCGGGGACCACCAAACTCATAATTTTAAATCCCAGGGACCACTAACTGGTTCTGTGGGCATAGCCTAATTTGTGGGTGTGGCTTGGTGGTCATGTGACTGGCTGGGCATGGCTTGTATATAAATATTATAAATATGTATATAAATATTGAATTTTTTATAAAAAAGAGCAACTTTTACCCAAAATCAGGCAAAGCAGGTAGGCAGATTGAGTTGCTCACAGAATCATTCAGTGATCTATCTATCTGCCATTGGCTAGCTCAGTCTCTCAAATTTGCTTGCCGTGAGTCTGCACTGAATTTGCTTGCAAGCAAACCTTCAGTCCTAAGGGAGGTTCAGCTGTGCTGAGACGAAGATCTAAAGACTAGCTAGAGAGCAAGAAATCCAACCATTTCCTGCTTCCTAGCTAATCTAAATCTCCCAGCACAGCAGAACAGATGATAGTCAGAAAAAGGAAAAATAGCAAATTTAGCAGGAAAGTTTGCCAAGTAAGGAGTGAGTGGGCGGGGAGGGTTCCCGTGGGCCAGGTGAACGATGCAGCCTTGTATTTCTGTGCAGCCTGGATTAATTGCTTTGGGGGGGTGTGCTCTGGGGGTGAGATTTCTCTGCGGTCCACCAAAATTTTCTCGTGGCCCACCAGTGGGCCCCCTTTCCCACTGAAGAGGTACCTATTTATCTACTCACATACTTTCAAACAGTTAGGTGGGCAGGAGCTGGAGCAAAGAACGGGAGCTCAAACATCGAACAGGTCTCAAACCCGGGTTGTCAGCTCTGTTGCCGACAAGCTCTACATCTTTAACTGCTGAGATATCACATACCCCCATATGAAAAGATAATTAACAAATAATTTCCCTTGCCACCTTTATCTAAGCTTATAATAGGAAAGGCCTCCATCTTTGTTATTGTATCCTTAAGCAATTGGGCTTTCATAACAATAGGCAATATTAACCAAAACTGCAAAAACCTGTTTGCCGTGTGTGCTCCTGGTTCCTTTGAGCAATGATTGGCATCTTCAACCTGCCATTGGCATTTCTTCTTTCATCTTGCCAGGGAGATCTTAGATCCTGATCCAAGCTTCTGTCTGGAAAGAAAAGATGTCAGGAGAAAAGTGTGAGAAGCAATGTGGCTTATTCCATAAATCCCTGTTAGAAGAAACCACAGCTAGTATGAACACAGTCTAACCCTATTCTAAAACCCACTACTATCTTTCTTTTAACCTTGATCCTTTCTAGAGAAGACTGCAATCCTCAGTCCATTTTCAGTCGAAATGTATGTTTACATTCAAGTTATCCAGCTGAGTTATTAAGCTTAGAAATATACAAACTCATAAGCTTCCTTTAAGTCCTACTGAATCATAAGGCTACTTCTGTTACGTGCACAGGAATGTACTTCAGAATAAGCGTAGATAGGATTGGCCTTCTAATCCAGTAGATACAGTCCATACCATACTGCAGTGTTAAGTCACCAATGGTTATAAATACGTTGAAAATGCTTCGTTTGTTTGAATGAAGTTTCCCACTTTTGATGAAAAGTTTATTTCATCTGGATATTTATTTTGCCTGAATGGACACCATAATCTTTCTTTCACTGGTTTCTTGTATCAATGAATGCAAGAGCACTCTAATCCTTTTATTATTATTATTATTATTATTATTATTATTATTATTATTATTATT